ATAAAAGAAATTAGACAGAAAGAAAAATAACACTGTATAATAAATTTGCCCTGAAACAGAATGGTTATTCAAAAAGCAAGACAAAAGTTAAGGAAAATTTAAAATGTCTATAAATTGTCTGTGCAGGTTAAGCAAAACTCATAGAAGAAATTTTATAAAAAATTTACATGTGATCCAGTTAACTATGTATTTCCTTTAAAATTTCTTAACTTATAATCTTGTTCAAACAAATGTTTTAAACCTTTGATATTTGACAAAGCTTCTAAAATCAAAACTCTAAATTTAGGACTTGGTGTCCACAGCACAGTGGTTGTGGCGCCAGCCACATGAACTGAAACTGACAGATTCTGAACCTAAGAAAAACAAATTAGACTTATTTGATTCATTAAAAGTGTATGGGAAACACCATCAAATATAAAATGGTAATTAATTTTATATAAATTATGGTTATATATATATTCCAATATTATAAAGCATTAATCTGTCCTAATGTATAAAGCATTAGTCTGTCCTAACATATACTGTCAATAATAATTTTAATTCATCTAAAAAGAAAGTGTTTTTGATGTAACTAAGTTCAAAGTTCATCCTAAAAAAGGGGGAAATATTAAAAAGAATTGACAAATTCTCTTAAATTCAAATTCCTGATGTTTTTAGAAAAGCAGATTTTTTAGAACTTTCCTTAGAAAGTTAACATGTCTATAAGTGTTGCTAACCTAACTCTAAACAGAACAGAAGTCAGTTACATAGAATAAACTGATTTATCATAATTTTGTTTGAAACAGTATTAATTCTGTCTGTGTTGTGTTTTCTAGAAGTCAAGAAAACTATTCTGTCTTTTAAACTATTTATAACTTTTCAAACAATATATATACATATGAGCAGAGTTTAAAACATGTATTTTTTCTCTCTCCTCAATTTCTCTAGAATTTACAAGCCATTGTAAATATTCTTAATTTCTAACAATACAGTTATTTCCATAAGTTCAATAAGAATCTGTTTTGTTCTATAAAACATGATAAAAACCACTGGCTATTTTATGACTGGAATAGCATTTCCAGAAATGTCCAGACTGCATTAAGGGATTAAGGTTGACTTTATAAAGCTAATAAAAAGCCCTTTGGAAAACTGGCCAGATACCCATCAGTAAAATTTCCTAACCTGTAGTAGTAATAAAGGTGGCTTACTGATGGGTCCAGGAATTGAAAAGTGCTTGGAAACCTCCAGAGAAAAAGAATTTGCCCAATGCATACAGGTATCTAATGGGACAGATGAAATCTGGGCTCGTAAAAAGCTTTAAGTCCAACTGAAATCCCATACAAATAATTCCAACAAAGCCAATTTTAAAGGGAGCCTGGATAGCTAATAATTAATTATTCTTACTGCACTATATGCAAATAATCAGTATACTGAAAGTACAGTTCATTCTGACAACTGAGTTAGTTCAGCTATAATTTGTCTTAAATAAAAGGAAATAGGAGAAAAAAAGAGAGAGAGACTGTAACCCATCTGTATTAGATCCCAGCCTTGTCTATACTGTCAACTCATAAAATAAGACATAACTGTTTTACTAAATTGATCTGTTAAATGAGATTAAGAGACTGGCCAAAAAGTAAAAATTATATACAGTAGTTCTATTTAACAAAGATCACCTGTTAAAAATTTGTACAGTGTTGAATATTACAGAGTAATGTGTATAAGCAAAGCCGTATGAACAGGAATTGGTTAACTCTGCCAAGAAACAAAGTTTAACTAAATATAAACCTTGCCACCAGTATTATTCAAAAAAAAAAAAAAACCCTCATTAATCCTCTGCTTAAAAAAAAAAACAGGAATTGGTTAACTCTGCCAAGAAACAAAGTTTAACTAAATATAAACCTTGCCACCAGTATTATTTAAAAAAAAAAAAAAAACCTTCATTAATCCTCTGCTAAAAAAAAAAAAAAAAACACTAGGAAAAACTGAATTGAATAGCCACTTGAGTAATTAACTGTGTTCTACTGTAGACACAACCTCCAACCAGGAGACTGGGCTTGACCAACTAAGTTGGAGAAAAGAAGACCACAATTCTAACCACCAAGCCCCTCAGCCATCATCTTCAACTAAAGAGTTAATTTCCCAAGAAGAGGAGTGGGGAATGTTGTGACATGCTTCCCAGCCCATTTCCCTCCTCCTCCCCTCTCCCCCAGAGTCAACTCCAGGAACAAGGCAAGTCCCTTGCCACATTCCCAGGCTCCCTCCTTCCCCCTGGGGTTGCCAAGAATAAGCTTCAGAACAAGGAAGAAAAGTCCCAAGTTTCACAAAACCCCCAAGTTCTCAGTAGATGAACAATGGTGGAAAACTCACCGAGGCTTGCTCAGTAGATGAACAATGGTCGAAAACTCACTGAGACTTCATTAATTACTGTTGTATAACCATAACCATTGTGATATGAGACGTATCCATTGTCAACCAAAGCTGTATTAATCATTGTTACATGACTGTAACCATCGCTGTATCCATGACTACCTGAGCTGTAATCTTCCTTAACCAGCCACATTTCACTTCTGTAATATGCTTGCACAAAACCTATAAAAAGCAACCCATCCCCCTACTTCACTGCTGACTGCCTCTAGAAGCAGCAGCCCCTGTAGCAGGTAAAATAAATTACCAATTAATTACATCTAAGTGGGGGTCTGACTCTATCTTTTCAGGTCATAGGGGGTACCACAACACTGTTAGAATATTACTTTCTGGTGAAAATTAATTTTAACTGTTCAATGGCTTAATAATCACAGAGTATAAATGCCTGACAAGCGCTAGTTTACTGACACCATGGAAAATCCAACCAAAACATTTTTTAGAGCTAGTCTGGATTCAGATTTCATACTTCTTTGACCTAAAAAGTAGTGAAGAAAATGAAACCAAATTCCTCCCCATGTTGAACTTCACATGCAAGTATTACCTATCTGGTTTGTAGCCATGAAATACATGGGTAACACAACCCACAGGCCCACCACCAGGCTCCCTGCTCAGTGGTGTTTTCCTTTCTCCTGGAGAAGAATACTGAACATTAAGAGTGCTGGGAAGTAGGCTAATCTTACTGGAGTTAATGGGAATGCACACTAATACATTCCTTTTGGAAAGATGTTTGGAGAACATTTAGAGAACTGAAAATAGACCTGCCATTTGATCCTACAATTCCTCTACTAGGCATAAATCCAGAAGATCAAAAACCACATTATAACAAAGATTATTTGTACCAGAATGTTTACTGCAGCCCAATTCATTATTGCTAAGTCATGGAAGAAGCCCAAGTGCCCATTGACCCACGAATGGATCAATAAATTGTGGTATATGTACACCATGGAATATTATGCAGCCTTAAAGATGGAGACTTTACCTCCTCCATCTTTACATGGATGGAGCTGGAACATATTCATCTTAGCAAAGTATCTCAAGAATGGAAGAAAAAGTATCCAGTGTACTCAGTCTTACTATGAAACCAATTTAGTCCAAGAAGAAGGGAAAAGGGGAGAGGGAGGGGAGGGGAGGGGCGAGGATGGGTGGAGGGAGGGTGATTGGTGGGACCACACCTATGGTGCATCTTACAAGGGTACATGTGAAATTTACTAGGTGTAGAATATAAATGTCTTAACACAATAAGGAAGAAAATGCCATGAAGGCTATGTTGACCAGTTTGATGAAAGCATTTCAAATTGTATATAAAACCAGCACATCATACCCCATGATTGCAATAATGTACACAGCTGTGATTTAATTTAAAAAAAAAAAGTGCTGGGAAGGGAAGCACTTCAAAGTTCTTCCCAGTACCTTTCCATGTGTCCAAACATTTTAAATAAACCATGAGACTCTGTCTGTAGCATCAGAGGTGTAGTGTCCATGAGAAAGGCCCAGACCCTCAAGCAAAGAGCCAGCTGCAGCCTGGAGGTGCCTAGGCACCTGGCAGGCACTTCGGCAGTGCCTTTCCTCACCTGCTGACATGTAAATACAGGCTGATTTTACAAGGAAATGTTTGGGGATAAAAATTAAATATTTTTCATCATGCATGTATTAAAAAAGACTTTAAAGTCAATTTTTGTAGAAACATACTCATCTGCTTATTGTAAAACAACACTGAAACCTGGATTCTGGTAGGAAATCAGAAGTTGTAGTTAGTCATACCACTTGACTAACCCTGAAAAATGATCACAAAATCATGTTTCTAGAAAGGATTATATTCTTGCCTGTGGTTTCTCACATAATAGCATTTTTCAGAGTAATAAATTTCAATCTAAAATGTCATGACATTAATCCAGACTCTACCTCTTTGTAGCTGTGATGCCTAAGATTTAACAACAGGATGCTAAATTTGCATCTTTCAAGTGCCATTAAGAATTCAGAACCACAAACCAGCCCTTACTCTAATTCCAAAAAGCAAAAAAAATTAAAAATTGAAACTGCTCATTTAATTCACAGTATCCTTGGATTGGAAGCATTCTTGACATTTGGAAGAAGAAAATAAAACCCTTTCTGGAGAATCTCACTTTTATCTCAGCCCTTGAAGAATTTCCCACATGAAAATACAGAAAAGGGCTCCTTCACAGTGAAAAACTAAGTGAACGTAACAAGGAAATAAAGGACCATGAGGGGAGACCAGCTGGAATAATAGAATTCTTTCCATACAGGCTTCAGTACCAGGATGGCAGACACAAACCAGGGAGGGACAATATTTTTCTGAAAGGTAAGCTTGGAAATGCATACAGGAAAAGACGCTGCAAACACACCGTTTGGAGAGGCCAACCCGACACTCTATCTTAAATTTAAACTGCGTGCTGGTCCCCTCCACACCTAGTCTAATGCTCTCTGAATAGCTGGGGTGTGGGGCCCAGGTCTCCCGCCCAGCACACGCCTGAGCAGTGAGTCCGCCCCTCAGGGTGGGGGCACCAGGCAGGGGCTGGAGAAGGCGGCGCGTCTCTCTTGCTGGGGACATGGACGCCTCCCCCCCACTGCGGACTCACTCGAGCTTCTTGAAGCGCTCACGGCCGGCGGCCACATACTTGCCACCTGCCTGCAGCGCGTCCAGCTGCAGCACCTGGTGGCCCCGCGTCGGCGTGTACAGACGCCGCACCCCGAATGGCGCCTCCACCTGCTCCGTCAGCTGCTCCAGCAGCGCCTCGAAGGTGGCCACGCGGCGCCGCGACAGCACGAACTTCCTGCCCACGAAGAACTGGTCGCCATTGCGGTACACCAGGATGGTCTTGGCGGGCGTGGTGTCCACCAGTGTGTAGGACCCGCGGGTGCCCATGGCCGCGCCCGCCGCAGGGCCGTCCCCTCTCCGCGCTCGACTCGGCCGTACCCCGCACCAGGCGCACGCCCCGGGCACGGCCGCGCGGACGCCCCTCCTGCCGCTGCTGCCGCGGCGCAGGCCGCAGAGGGACGGTGAGTGTTGACGCCACCGGTGATTGTGACCGTGGCCAGCCCGGGAGCAGGGTCGGGAGAGGCAGGCGTGAAGGTGGCGCCCCGTGCCCCCGCGGCCTGCCACCCTCCTCTGCGGAGAGGGGGATGCGCCTGAGGGGCATGGGGGGGCGGCCACCCTGAGGGTGAAAATTGGAGGAGGGGCCTGGAAGTTGCTTCACTGAACTTTCTGAGCCTTGGTTTCTTTCATCTGATCAGTAAGCACCACTGACAACTGCAGCCTGCTGTCTGCTGGCCGCAGGGGCAGGGACGGGTCACCTGACTGGGAAGGTCTGTGATTCCTGGTTGAGGTCCCATCCCTGAGTAAGGAATCTGATTCGCTCACACCGCTTCGTGAGCTCCTCAAACTGTTGGCTTAATAGCGACCTTCTAACTTTGAAAAAGACACTGGTTTGTTTCTAAATCATGAAGTTTTGTGGATTGTCTTGCATGTAAACCACTTTAGCTTGTATGTGTTGTCATCTGCAGGTGATGATAGTCACTGCACCCTAAACTTTCTTGTGAAAGTTTCCCAACATGTAACAGACTTGGACCGTGCCCAGCTGTATGGGTGTGTCTTCATGGTCCTCAAATTTGGCTTTCAGGAAACCTTTAACAGATTATTTCTAACTCAACAGCCTTAATCTCAGTCGACAAGCCCTCACTCTTCTAAGATTCTCAGCTCAGGGCTGGTAACTTAGCTATTTTCCACCACAAGAGGACTCTGTGAGAAACAGTTCCTGCAGCAGAGGGCCACGGTGTCTCCGAAGCATGACATTCATAATGCACCCCCCACCCCCACCCCCTGGGGGACAGGGGAGCCTCTGGGGTGGCCTCTCCCTATTTGGGGATAAAGATAAAACGACATATGCTTCTAGATATGCAGTTTCCCAATGGTTTTGATGGGCTTAAACAATCTTCCAAAGATAATGGGCTACATATTACCTGCTGGATGTACCCACAGAAGGTGCAGAAAATTGACATTGGGTTATTAAGTGTGAAATGTCAGTTTCCTTAAGTACTAAAGTTTGACAGCTGATGTCTCTGACATTTCACTTTGACACTTCTTGTTTTATTTTTATTTTGAAGATACATCCTCATTCTTTGAAAGGCATGCTTTGGCTTGTGATTATCTTTCAAATTTCTTTAGAGCAATTTTTGTGAAACCACAGATAAGTAAAAAATTCATGTTATTTTCAAATACAAGTTCTGTCATGGAACCAGTGAGGCACAGACAGCTTGACACACCAACAAAGTGTTTGGGAAGTATGTGGCTAATGAACACATAGTATGGGGGTGGTTTGAGAAGTTTCATTAGGGTGATTTTAATCTTGAAAATGAGCCACCTGCATGACCTGGAACCAAGGTGGAAAATGATGAACTGAACGCTATAGTGGAAGCCAATCCATCCCAACCTACATGCAGATTAGCAGCAAGGTTTGATGTTACTATTCCAGTAGAATTGGACCATCTGAAACAAATTGGCAAGGTAAAGAAGCTGGATAGATGGGTTACACATTAAGCAAGTGTCAAAACAGAAATCATCTCAAGCTGGCCTTTCTTTGCTGTCATCATAAAGGTGAACCATTTCTACACCATATTGTTACACAAGCGTTGGCACAATGGTTGGATAAAGATGAAGTGCTGAGACACAGTCAAAAATAGAATATTCACCTAAAAAAGTTTATGGTGTCTGTTTTTCAACCAGCTGGATGAAATGATGAGGATGCTTATGATTAAGAAGCTGAGATTGGTCAGTAGAGAGAGGCCACTCTTATAAGACAGCGCTCAGCCCCATGGCTCACAAGCAAGATGGCTCAAACCACAGAGGCTGGACTTGGAAACTCTCTGTCATCCACCATCTTCACCAGACTTTGCACCACCTAACCACCACTCCTTCCAGGCTTTGGACCACCCCTTGTGATGAAAACTACTCACTTCTCAACAAGCTGTGGAAACATCTTTTGCAATTTCTTTTTTTTTTTTTTTTTTTTTGAGACAGAGCCTCAAGTTGTCCCCCTGGGTAGAGTGCCGTGGCATCACAGCTCACAGCAACCTCCAACTCCTGGGCTCAAGAAAGTCTCCTGCCTCCGCCTCCCAGGTAGCTGCGACCACAGGCGCCCGCCACAATGCCCAGCTATTTTTTTGGTTGCAGCCGACGTTGTTGTTTGGCAGGCCTGGGCTGGATTCGAACCCATCACCTTAGTTGTATGTGGCTGGCACCTTAGCCACCTGAGCCACAGGCACCAAGCCATCTTTTGCAATTTCATCACCACCAGCTCTCCAGGCTTCTTTGCTGCTGGAGCATATAAACTACCGTTAAGATGGCAAATTAGGCATGTGCTTTGATTAGTTGTAGTGTTTCTTGTTTGAAATATATGTAAATATATATAATACACTTTTGGTTCTAACTTGGACCTAATATCAATATCCTGTAGTGTCCAAAAAGTTAATTCCTTAGAGACCATCTACCATTTGCTGCCAATTTTTGAACCACCAAATGCTTCATAGCAACATTAAATATAGAGACCAACTTGTGAGAAGACCGCTTTATTAAATCAGCAGGAGGCACAGGTGTTCAAAACACTCCAAGACTGTGACCAAGCAGTCACTGCTGTGTAGCCAGCAGTGGGTCCCTCGTGCGTGTGTTTGGAGGTTTGCTCTGACACCCACTTTCACCACAGTGGTCACAGGTTTGCTCTGAAGCCCCCTTTCACTGCAAACCTGATCATGGGTTTATCCCGGCTTCGCAGGAGACAGATGGAGCTAGGGAAGCCCTTCAGCCGAAGGCGGCTCACTCCCCCATCCGGGGCTATGGTGAGCCTGGCATGAGTGATGACATCTTGGAGCTCTAGTGTCAGGCTGTCAAACAAGTGACTTTGGTTGGGGGACAGCTGTAAAGAGGCAGATACAGAGATGCTTGTCACAAAAGGGTGTTCATGGCCAAGTGAGCCAACATGCCCACACGGTGAAGAAGTTACTCAGTGACCTTAATCTGGCTTACTGTAAGAATCTACTAGTGGGGGCAGGATGCCCATATAATACCAACAGGAATATTTGGGTCCCTGTGAGGGCTGTCATTTTTAATCATTAATAAAATGGACAAACCCATGAAATGTGACAGGTCATCTTGGTCTCCCTGGAGGCCATTCCCATTTCCACATAGAAGCAGCCCTCACCTCCACCCTCACCTAAAGTGAAACTTTCCTCCTCCTTAATCAAAGAAGACACTTGTTGACTGTCTCAGACTGTGTATCCCACACGTGGACACACCATTATAGGTTTAAATATGTTAGTTTTTCTTTCTAAAAAGTAAAGTATAAAGCAGAAACATTTTTCCATTTCTGTATGCTTAGCCGATGACAGTTTTTGGCTCTAACAGAACTTGACTGGCAGTGCAAAAGTGGAAGGAAATAAAGCCTGTCTTCCTGTTTGAGCACATGAATAAGATTTTTAAAGGCTCATTCGTTCTACTGCTAAACTGCACAGAAGGCTTGGCATTGTATTGGAATCCTTCCAAAGTGAGTCTGAGTGAATAGCCCAGACCCAGTGCTGGCTGCTGACACTATTTCACTGGACCTTGGTGACTGGGAGCAGAGCTTTCCACTTATGGGCTGGAAGGTTCCACTTCTGCTTAATCATATCTTCTTCCTCTTGAGTTGTTAAGACACACCCATCCACTTTACAGTTGTCCGGAAAATTGCCTGTGGGAACAAAGGAAAGAGTGGCTGTCTTCAGGCATTTATGCCCAGTATAATTCGGCATATAGGACACTGGGGCTTTTTAAATAGCATCAAAACCCCAGCAAAGAATAAGACATTGTTCTGTCTGAACAAAAGCAAAGGTACGAAGCCTCTGAGACAAGGAATCCAACCATCACAGACTAGTTGGATTGCCTCATGAAATAGAAGAGTGTTTGTGTTTCAGGAGAATTTGGAACTGCCTGCCATCTGTGAATGGCCTGGCATGTTCGAGTCTGAACGCACAGCATTCTTACTCTGAAAGTTGAATGTATTTGATCAGCTTCCTAAATTGCAGATTTAATTACTTGAAAACTGCTATATGGCTCTTCAGAAATTATTATGAAGCTGGAAAATATTTTCCTTATGGCATCGTATTCTGCAGTGTAACAATACAAAGAGAAGAAATACTGAGCCAGCAGCTTCTGAACACAAATATGCCGTGCTCCAGGACCTCTGCTGCGTGGTCTCCACAGGAGAGGGCGCCTTCCCGGCCTTCTCTCCTTCTGGGAATTTCAAGGGAGTCCCGTGCTCAGTGGATTTGAGAAGCATGGGGGAAAGGCCCCACACTCTTGGTCAGGAAAATTCTTATAGGAGTTTTTCAGACTTTAAGACTGACAGAGGAAGAGGTTGTTAACCAACAACCCTGGCAAAAGAGAATGCTCGGTGCTCACACTCCCCCTCTATGGCGCTTCAAATAGTGGTCCCCAAGGTGGGGACCACAAGGGGCCCAGGAAGAAAAGTATCAGGGCAGCTGTTTCTATTTCTCTGACATATGTGCGTGCTAAGCTTTGTATGTTTGATGTGATCTATTACATATTTGACACACTTATTACATACTGACATAATGCAAGTGGAAGCTGCATGTCCCCTCACTGTCCTAAATGTCATCACATTGTTCTGGAAGTGTCCTGACAGCCACATATTCCTGACCCTTAGCCACTAGACTGCCCAAGTCTGTGCAACTGCTGGCTGCCACCTGGTTTTAACTATCCCTCACCGAAGTAAACAAGTGATTTTAAGCCATTCACACAGAGAACTGAGGATTAAAGATAATGTAGAATTGTAAGCATCACAAACAGTGAAAAAATCCCAGAGCCTCCATTTCACCTGCAACTCGCTCCTTGTCAGTCACGTGGAAAAGTAAAAGCCACACCAGATCCAAAGTTCAGGCTTCCAAAAATGAGTGAAAATTACCAAGACCTGTTGAAATATTTACTTTCCATCCACTACTATTCATGATGAACCTGCCTTTAAATGTAGATTGTGCCTTGATAGAATAGTTAATGATTGAGTAAAGTCATAATAATCTGAAAAACATTGAAAATTCACTCATCCAAAATGTCAAAAAACATAAACTGTCACCATTTATTCAGAGAGAGCTAAACAGTCATGAGTCCCCAGTCCACAACTTTTCAAAGGTCATCTAATGATTATTATAAAAGTTGGGTAACACTGTTTGAACTTTTCTAAAGATGACATATACATGTATTTCATGAGAACATCAATATCGAATATCAGGCTGCCTGTCCAGACTGTTTTTACTAATACAGGTGCACAGTTTTTTGTTGTTATTGTTGTTTGGGTTTGTTTTTTTTTTTTTTTTTTTTTGCAGTTTTTGGCCAGGGCTGGGTTTGAACCCACCACCTCCAGCATATGGGGCCAGTGCCCTACTCCTTTGAGCCACAGGCACCGCCCCACAAGTGCACAGTTTTAAACTGTGTTAAGTCACAGCCTTGAAAGCCAAGCCTGGAGAAGAATCAGCCACCGAGAGTGTACCTGTGTGAGACCCCTCCTCACAGGAAGAGGCTCCAGCTCTTTTCTACTCACAGGCTCCTCCCAGATCAGATTCATGGCCTCTGTTAAGAAGCCTTATAGCCTAATGAAATCTATATGCCTTTTGAAATCATCTATTTCACTTCTGAATTTTATAAAAGGGGTATTGGTGTTCAAAGAGTTCGGCTGTCATGGGTCCCACTCCCTGAGGACCAAGCTGTCTTCAGAATCAGGACACCTCTTAGAAGGCTCTTCCTTAGGGCTCTGCATCTACCTTTAAAATAGCTGGTATCGATTTCGATTTGAGTTATCACTCCAGGGTGTGCCAGTCGGAAAACTGCCCATTCACAGCCCGGAACCAACAGAGTGCCATTCTCATCATTCTGAAAGTCAAAAAAAAAAAAAAAAAGTAAACTAATTTGGAATTGTTCAAGAAACCAATCCTGAAAACCAACAGGTGAGAAAGGCCAGCATGTTGCACTTCATCACTATTTCCTGTGGCCTGTTGTGTACATTATTTTTGTGTGTAACTGCCTCTTTGCTATCATTCCTTAAGTGCCCCAAGCCAACACAATTTCACTGGGTACCAGGTATGTTTTTATCAATTTCTGATATGATTTTCTGTATTAATTACAGCTCCCTGCAGATGCTATACACAAAAAGATCTTTAATCCAGCCCATAAATTCTCTAATCCCATAGCCCCAATCCCCAGGCTGTGGACCAGTACTGGTCCATGGACTGTTAAGAACCAGGCCGCACAGCAGGTGACAGCAGGCAAGCCAGCCCCCGAAGCTTCATCTGTATATACCGCTGGTCCCCATCACTGCATCATCGCCTGAGCTCTGCCTCCTGTCACATCATCAACAGCATTTGTGTTTCCTAGGAACACAAACCTTGCTGTAAACTATCAGGGGTCTAGGTTACCCCTCCTTATGAGAATCTAAGTTTCCTCCCACCTGCATCTATGGAAAAATTGTCTTCTATGTAACCAATCCTTGGTGCCAAAAGGCTGGCGACCCCTGCTCTAATCAGCTCTGACCTTTTGAAGTAGATATTTTCTTGGTCAAATCTATACCAATACATAATATGCCTCCAAGCCTTCGCTTTGAGAAAGGAGAGTTTATTCATTCATATCTGAATGCCCTGGGTGACATGAAATCCCTCCCAAAAAGGGAGAAGGTATTTCTGGCCAAGTTTTCAGTGAGATTTCAAATTGAAGAATATTTTGTTTTGTTTTGCTGCTTTTCGGTTTTCTTATCTCAAATTAGTTATTGGCCAAATTAAACTACAGTGGACACCCAAGAAGCCTCTTCTCAATAATAAGTTCATGTATATGGCCTTATCCTGGGATACACAAATATTAAAAATCATTAAAACTAGTGTTTTGTCCTCCAGATCTACCATAAATTTATTCACAACTTTTATATCATTAAGTTGAAGATCTTTTTCTTTCTTTATTGAATAAACAGTAACAGCCCGAAGGTGCGCTGGGCTGGCTGGCAACACCAGCATACCTGGCCTTCTGGGTCTTTGCCCTGATATAATGAAAACAGCAGGAAATTTGGAACACATGGAGAATAGTAATAAATACTTAGAACAATGCTTAAGAGGTTTCTAAAACAAGCAAAAATGTCCTTGATGTAAAACAGGAAAAAACAAACTTTAGAAAAATACTTTTTAGAAAAACCTCATAGTTAATTTTTAACTTCTTACTTCTAATATTGGTGGCCTGTCCAGCCTTCTTGCAGTTTCCCAACCATCTGCTATAGACTTTGCCTTGCTGACGCCTACAGAAAATAACATTGTTTAATGGGAAATCACCTGTTATTTTAAATGTGAGAATAAATTCATTGGTGTAATTAAATTATAGATCCCATGCACCTAAGCATTGCTACACAAGTTATTTTCATTAATGCTTCAGTAAGTTCACAAACAGCCAGAGGGTTAGTAAATTTTACTTTTACAGCAACTAATTAGGCCACAATTGTGAGGAAAACTTGCTAATATTGACTTATTTCCTGTCATAAAGGCATCAAATCAGACATCTTGAATCATTCTGGCCACACTGGGGCATTGAATGCTGGCATCCAGATGTCCTAAATAAGCCAGCTCCCACGCTGTCCTCTTACCTATCATATTGTTTGGGTGCCCAAAATGTGCATTACTAAATCCTACACAGACACCCCCAAAAGCGATGGTTACTAGGTCAATAGGTTCTTTGGGGTCAGTTGCAGTCCAGTCATTTTGTCCAGTGCCATACACTCTAAGCCGTGCAATTCCACCATCTGAAAAGGAAGGTTGTCTCAGTCAGTTTGTAGTGTGGCTGTCTGTGCTTCATGAACCACAGGCCCCTCTGGACTTCTCCAGTCTCATCTCATGGGAGGCTTCTGCCATACTGCCTGCTTTCTGTTTCTCAACTACAACAAGTCTGCTGCCCCCATTTGTTGGTACCTTGTACCAAAACAACTTTCTCAGCCCTCCAAAAGACTGCAAGTCATTTATAAGTGTCACAGCCTCAGGAAAGCCTTCTCTGTCAGAGTCTGAAGTCGTTTCTTCCCCACCTCCGACCTGCACCTGACTCTCCAGGTTAAGTTTTATCATGTCTTTTTGATTAGTCGCTTTGTAGCTCTAATCACAGGCAAAAATTCTCTTTTTCCCATTAATTCTGTGCTAAAATCAGTCTCACAAATCCAGAATATAAACCTCTGGAGGCTACAACAGCTCCATCCTCCCTGCCTAGAAAAGTCGTGGCACAGTCATGTTTATTGAATGAACAACTCCAAGGTCAAAAGCATTCAAGAAATTTATCATAGCTATCTTTGGTGCCAAAAAAATGGTGTTCCTAATTCCCACACAGACTCATACAAGAACCTTATGTTTTTATGCTTACAGCACATTGCTTAGCCATGCAATTGAGACAAGATTCATCATTTTTTGAATATCACTTTCTAGAAGGTGCAGCCAAGCATTTTTTAATATAAAAGTTCAAGTCATTTAATCAGTATATTTTACTAAAACTCACCCCTCTTTGTTTTTACATGAAAAAAATTTATGAAACTGAGCTATCTGAAAATCCACTGGTAGAACTGTGGAAGTCTTGCTGTTTACAACAAATCGAACTAGACTCCTTTGGCACAAATCCCTAGAAAATATTTTAGAGGAAGTAATTCAGCAGTGATGATTCTTCTTCACAGAGTTAATATCTAGACTCACTTTTGATCAAAACTATCAAGGAATCCCCAAAATGCCTCTCTCTCCTCTGAGGACATGTCATTTAGACATCAGCCTGGGTTGTCACAGCCTCCTTTTCTGGCACCCTGGATGCAAACGAGATCCACATAGGGCAGTCACAGATGCTGCGGAGAGCATCTAGGCAATCAGTGCCAACCAATTCAGAAAGAGCTTTATGTGCATGGGGGCCCTTAAATCCAATCCAGAACACAGGTTTCCATGGCAAAATATTTTCAGACCCTTTCTCCATTCCTAAAGCTGGTACAAATTAAGTTGAATGTATAAAGCTGCTGTTTCAGTAGATCAAAAATTGTCCAATAGTGCCATTCGATCCTACAATTCCTCTACTAGGCATAAATCCAGAAGACCAAGAATCACATTATAACAAAGATATTTGTGCCAGAATGTTTATTGCAGCCCAATTCATAATTGCTAAGTCATGGAAGAAGCCTAAGTGCCCATTGACCCACAAATGGATCAATAAATTGTGGTATATGTACACCATGGAATATTATGCAGCCTTAAAAAAGATGGAGACTTTACCACTTTCATGTTTAAATGGATGGAGCTGGAACATATTCATCTTAGCAAAGTATCTCAAGAATGGAAGAAAAAGTATCCAATATACTCAGTCCTACTGTGAAACTAATTTATAGCTTTCACATGAAAGCTATAACCCAATTATAGCCCAGAATATGAGGAAAGGGAGGGGACGGGAGAGGATGGCTGGAGGGAGGGTAATTGGTGGGACCACACCTACAGTGCATCTTTCAAGGGTACATGTGAAATTTACTAAATGTAGAATATAAATGTCTTAACACAATAACTAAGAAAATGCCATGAAGGCTATGATAACCAATTTGATGAAAATAGTTCAAATTATATATGAAACCAGCACATTGTACCCCATCACTGGGGTACAATGTACACAGCATTACACCCATTAATGTACACAGCAATGATTTAATGAAAAAAAATTGTCAATAGAAATTTCTTAATGGCTGTACCTAAATGCTTTTGTTATATACATCACTACTTTTGCAGTTATTTCTCTACTTGTCTGCCTTTCCCCGGGCTGTTCACTTCATAGGGCAGGGGCTCTGGATTCAACCTGATAGCAGTTACTGAGCTGCTCCTGTGCTCCCTGGGCTGCACCAAGTTCTGGGTACACACAGATGACAACCCGGACACATGGCCAGGTCTTCACAACACTCACAACCTGCTGGCTCAGCCCTACACATCATCACACTCAGTCTCCAGCTCAAGGAGGTTCACCTGCAGTGATGCTAAATTATCTCTTGTAAGCTCTGCCCATTGCCAGGAGTGTGAAGAACAGATGACTTCAACAAATAATCATCATCAGTAAACTCACACTCAGCTCTTTCAATGAGGGTGGTCTTATTTCAACACATGATAACCAAGAAACATGACATTTAAAATAAAAGCCCAGAAAACCGCTTCTGGCACCACACCAGGAGGAGCTCTGCTTACCTGCTCTCCAGTGAAGCTGGTGAAAATGGGGCCAAGAAAACTGCTCAAGTCTCTGGAAATTGTCCCCAGAGCAGAGAGCAAACGAAGCTACTTTGGTTCAGCAGTGTCCACTGAACCTCAGTAAGAGCACTGAGGTTCTGTGGTTTCTGACCAAGCCCACATCTTCACTCCCTCCTTCCACTCAGCCAAGTGGACTCTCCCCTCCAGACATGCAGCCGACAGCTTGGGGCTCCCCTCCCCCAGCCCACAGCTGGGGAGCCATGTTCCTGGGAGGGGTGGGACACCCGTGTTTCTCATTCTGCCCCCCTCCCCTCAGCAGAGACTAAGTCCTGGATTAGTGTGTTGCAAGGGCCCACAGTCATGCATCTCCTAGTTCACAAGACCAGGTTCCATGTGAGAAGAAGCAAGCCCAGGTGACTTGAGGCTACCACCCCACCCCACCAACCACCCAACTCCTAAATCCTAAATCAGGTAGTGCCAGGGAAAACCACTTCACTGTCCCCACCACAGGGTCCACAGCCAGTGTGCAAAAATTTTTCCCAGAAGAAGTGAGTTGTAAACCAACTCCCAAGGTCTACCCAAAGGAACTGACTTCATATGCACCAGCATATGGAGAAACTCAAGACTGAAAACAAGCTCTCAGAAACGATGGAGGCTGTGGGTGAAAAGCAGCTGAGAGGAAACTGCAAATCCATCTGAGATAGAATCTGCAGGACCACAGTGTATACTGTGAAAGGCTGGTTTGCTGAGAGACAGAACTGGGACTAGAACAAACCTCAAACATCTCCTTAAACACTACTACTTCAAACAAATTTAATGGGGATCAATGTATGCCCAGGGCATTGTTGAAAACTATAAATCAGGAAGATGGTGATTAGTGGAGCTTAGAAGTTAAATATGGTTAGGGAAAAGTCCAGCTGAAGCCCTCCGAGCAGGGTGACTGTGGGCACACCCAGCAATGCCCCCAGGAGTGACACCAGAGGCTTCACATCATGGCAGTAAAATAGGCATCTCTCAAAGCAAAACAGCCAGTAGTGGAACAAATAATAAAGAAAACCTCAGAGGAGAGAGCCAATATCCAGAGTTGCTGCAATATATTATTTGAAATGTCCATTTTCCAACAAAAAATTATGAGCCATTCCAAGAAACAGAAGAGTCTGGTCGATACATCAGAAAAAGGCAAATGACAAAAATTTTCTGGGAAAGTGACTAGCTGCCAAATTTAACAAATATTTCAAATTATTCATTATAAATACGTTCAAATAACTAAAGGAAATCATGATTAAAAAGTAAAGGTATGATGACAACGCCACATAAAATATAGACTATGAGTAGAGTTAGAAAGTATGAAACCCCACACCAGAATGGAATTATGAGGGTAACAATACAATAATGGAAATGAGAACATTAAGAAGCTCAACAGAGGCTCGGCACCTGTAGCACAGTAGTTACAGTGCCAGCCACATACACGGAGACTGGTGGATTGGAACCCAGCCCAGGCCAGCTAAACAACAACAACCGCAATAAATAAATATATATGTATATATATAGCCAGGCATTGTGGAAGGCACCTGTAGTTCCAGCCACTTGGGAGGCTGAAGCAAGAAAATCACTTAAGCTCAAGTGTTTGAGGTTGCTGTGAGCTGTGATGCCACAGCACTCTATGCAGGCCAAAGTAATGAGACTCTGTCTAAAAAAAAAAAAAGTTCAACAAATTTGAACTGGCAGAAGAAAAAGTTAGCCAAACTAAAGCCAGATTGACACAGATTATGTAGCTGAAGAACAGAGAAGAAAAAAATTAAAAATTAAAAAGTTAAGACCTCAAAGAAATATGGGACAATAGTTAGTACACCAGAATATGTGTAATGGAGCCCCAGAGGGAGAAAAAAAACAAAGAAGAAAAATATTCAAAGAAATAATGGATGAAAACTTCCTATATTTACTGAAAAACACCAACCAGTCTGCACATCCCAGAAATGCAGTAAACACCAACCAGGGTAAATGCTATGAGAGCCACAGACACATATTAGTAAAAATGCTGAGGGCCAAAGATGAGAAGAAAAGCTTGAAAGTGGCAAGGAAAAAAATGACTCTTCACAAGAAAAGAGTACTCAACAGATGAACATTGACCTAGTATCAGAAACAACAGCAGCCAATGGGATAACATTCTAAATGCTAAAAAGAAAAAACTATCAAAAAGACCAACTGCACAAATAATTAACCAAGTTTAATATTTGGAAGTGCTAAAAAGGCTATGTCAAAAAGTTAGGGGAGGTGGCACCTGTGGCTCATAGGAGTAGGGCACCGGCCCCATATGCCAGAGGTGTAGGTTCAAACCCAGCCCCAGCAAAAAACTGCAAAAAAAAAAAAAGTTAGGGAAAACAACCTGAACTTTTTGCCAACAACTTGTGGCTCTTGCATCACGATAATGCACCAGCCCACACAGCATTGTCCATTAGGGAGCTTTTAGCCAGTAAACAAATAACTGTATTGGAACACCCTCCTTACTCACCTGATCTTGCCCCCAATGATTTTTTGCTTTACCTGAAGATAAAGGAAATTTTGAAAGGAAGACATTTGATGACATTCAGAACATCAAGGGTAATTTGACAAAAGCTCTGATGGCCATTCCAGAAAAAGAGTTCCAAAATTGCTTTGAAGGGTGTACTGTGTAGTTTGCCAAGGGGAGACTTTGAAGGTGACCATAGTGATATTCAGTAATGAAGTATGAAACACTTTTTCTAGGATGAGTTCTTAAACTTAATTGTCAGAACTTATATACTATAAACCCTAGACTTCAAATAGGTGATCTGTATGTTAATGTAAATTATATTACAATGAAGTTCCTACAAGAAGTTAAATCAAGTAAGAATCATTTGTACATAATGCTTCAACTGCTTTATATACACCTGTGTGGGAGGAATTGTTGGGCAGTGTTGAACCTAACACAACCTAGTTCCACCACCTTCTCATCCACTTGGTAATTGTTCAATAACTATTTATTGTTGGGTAGATTGAAACAAGAATTTCTTAGGGCACAAAAGGGCAAATTATAGGGTGGTGCCTGTGGCTCAAGGAGTAGGGTACCGGCCCCATATATGGAAGGTTCAAACCCAACCCCAGCCAAAAAAAGGAAAATAAAATAAGGACAAATTATAATTCTAAAATACTAGAGAGATCAGTTACCAAGAAGAGTGGTTCCTCTTAGATTTTACAAACAAGTCAACAAAAAGTAAAGAGGCTGGAGAACTGGAGATGGGTTCCTGTCACACGTACCTGGGAAGATGTTGAGTCTGACATGAGTCCATCTCTGCTGAGAATTGATAAGAAAATAGTTGTGGCTGGAAGCAGGGTTTCCTGGCTTAAGCTCTGTCATATGTACCAAGTAATTCCAGTCGTTGGATTTTAGCTATCAATAGATATAAAAATGTTAGCAGTGGCTCTTGTGAACAATAGATTCCCTCATCTTAGTACATCTGTGGGGCTTCCAGGAGGAGCTGCTTTGGAATCAAACTTAGTGATGGATGCCTAATGGAACACATTAGCAAAAATAGAAAAAATCAAGCACTAGGTTTACTAATAAAATTAAGGTCCCAGGGAAGGGGGGGCAGGGTCCACACAATCAAAATAGCCAGTGGGTGACAGTGGCAGGAGTTTGTGAGTGAAGGATAAGGTCTAAGGTCTAAGATCCTTCCACATCTTTCCTGGTAGGCAGAATGGTGACCTAAACATTCAAGCCAACATGGGGCTATTCCCACAGGCCAGGAGGTCTGAGTTGGCCAGAACCCTGAAATGATTTTCACTATATTACTGCTTCCCAAACCACAGGATCTGACTATTGGTGCTGTCATTTATTTTCACATCTATTATGGAGTAACACTTCCATAAAACACAATACAAATTGTTAAACAAATACACTTTTGACTGTGCACAGTGGCTTATGTCTGCAATCCCAGCACTTCGGGAGGCTGAGGTGGGTGGATTGCCTGAGCTCACAGGTTCAAGACCAGCCTGAGCCAGAGCAAGACCCCCATCTCTAAAAATAGCCAGGAGTTATGGCAGGTAGCTGTAGTCCCAGCTACTTGGGAGACTGAGGCAAGAGAATCATTTCAACCCAAGAGTCTGAAGTTGCTATGAGCTATGATACCATGGCACTCTACCAAAGGCAACAAAGTAAGATTCTGTCTCTAAAAAAATAATAATAATAAGCTTCTAAAATAATAGCAAGGCACCAAAACATAAGCCCCAGTTATTTTGTAAAAACTCGTGAGACACAAAAGTTACTTTGTCCACTTGCTATATCAGTTTCTGGATGTACTTCACCAAGGGCCAGCTCCTCCTATGGCCACATGCACTGTCAGTAAACCACTGACAAGACATTAGTAAGGTCACAGAGGGTCAGGAAATGAGGTGAGATATGCCAGGGTTGGGTGTCAAAATCGCCTCCCAGAGCCAGGTGTGCAGGGACCCATGTTGTCTATGGGGACGTACCTCGGCAATAGCTTCAAGCTCCTCAGGTGTGGCTGCAGCTCCTGTCCTGACTCCTCGTTCTGGGATTTCTGGTAATTTATCTGAAGTCAGAATGAGCACTCCAGATTATTACGGTTAGGGTTCAAAATCAAAGAGAATTTATTCCCTAGTGGGTAGTATGGTAATTTTCATTTTTCCAAATACCATCAGAGATATTTCTTAAGTCAAAGTCTCAGATGATGAAAGTAATAGATACATCTGTTAAGGTTCCTCAATATTTAATATATCAACACAGTAATTTCAAAAAGTAGTGTAACATATGTGGTACTACATTTGCTTGTCAAAACGGTAAACATCACTTCCCAAGCAGGGCGAACTTCAACACATTTATCATCACATCACTGGAGTTTTCAAAAGTTAAATCAATGGAGTTGGACCATTACAAGGTCAACTCCAAAAACACTGCCACCCAATGGTATCCTTAGAATTGATATATGGGTGATTTCAAAGTATTATAGAGGCATTCCCAGACCACTGAAGGCCTGCTGAAATAGTCGTGCTCACCTGCCCCTTGTTTGTCATTGCCTGCTGTGAAGCGACCTCCATTATAACTCCATTTACCTTCTGTGCACCGCAGCCCTCCTTGGGAGCAGCATCCATGTTTCCACACAGCTCACGCAATGCCAGGCACATTGCACTTTGACTAAGAACGTGCCCACCTGCATGATCTGTCATCCCTAAGCACGTGCATACACACATAGGTGATTGCACACATTTCACAAAAATTAATTCCAAGACTAATGTCAGATCATGTAATTAAAGGAATAAAAATGCAGGTCTAATTGTAGAGGCTACACAATTCACAAGGCCCAGCATCCCAAGATGGAGAAATAAACCTTTCCTGTGAACCTTATGGTAACTGCACCGTCACACGCATGGAAGCCCAAAGAACGGCTGGTGACCCAAGACTGCCTCTCATCTCTGGGTCACCTAAGACACAGCCCATGCTCCTCAGAAAACTGCTCACCAAATGTCCCTGTGACACAAGATTGTGCCTCTGTGCAAGGCCTTGGGAGGGTGGGAATGATGAACTCCATATCGAGCCATAAACATTGTTAAGCTAAAAATCAAAAATCTCAGAGCACCTGCTGGGAGTCCTCATCCTAAAGCTCTGCCACATGAAGTGGTCATGGGAAGGTCACTGGACCTGTCTGGGATTATTGAAAGTGGCCGTGGGATCCCAAGTCCCACATGGGGACAGTGCTGCCTCAGTGGACCACAGGGGGCCCCGACTCCCACCATGGACACTGCTGCCTCAGGCACCTTCTCCCAAGTTTGCTGCTTGAATCGACATCCGAGGAGCATGATTTCCCTCGAAGTAAGAAATGTCCACATCGAAGCCCCGGACAACTCCTGATATCCCCAGCCTGATGACACACCAGTCGTGACCTAGGCAACACAGGTGACAGGATGGCCACATTAGACTGACTGCAGGAAATGGGCGAAGTGTGTGGTTGGACAGAGCTACACAGGCTCATTTTAATCTCATGTAACTTTGAACTCTCTCATAACCTGGCAGGAGGTGACCACAATTGTCCAGCATGAATCGCCAAATCTACTCAGGCCAGGAAACGCTTGGGCCTTGGCCTCAGAGATAGATTCTGACTCCAGGCAGTCATTCCCTATGACTGTCCTTAGCAAATTCCATCTGTGAGCCTCATTTCCCCAGCCGTGAGTCAGAGGTAACATCAGTGTCCATGAAGCCTAGATGTGATTGTCATGATCTCGAGAACCCAGGCCAGCTGGTGGGTAGCAGAGCTGGTTCTCCTGTGCACCATGCTTTTTTTTTTTTTTCACGCTTCTCCTTATGTCAGGCTCTGAGGTTCTCCGGACACACCCCTGCCAAGAACACCCTGCCTTGGGTCTGCCAGCGGCTTCAGGGTCCCAAAGTCTGTGTACCAGTTTCTGGTCCCTTACTGTCAGATATGAACCCACCTTAACATGTCTGTATTTAATAAAATATAGTATGGCCTAAAGTACTATATGAATATAGAAAATTAGAAATATCCTATATTTATGTAATACTTGAGACAGTAGCTTTAAAAAATCCAGTTGCTAACCTAAGGCCTGTATTAATTTACTTTTAAGCATATTTCAGCCACTTCAAAAGATTTGTTTTGACTGAGGCTGATGAGTAGCAATGAATAAAAACAGCATCTTAAGGTGCCATAAGAGACAGGTGGATAGAGGAGTAGGGCAGACTGTGGTTAGTTCCAGCTTGTCTTGCTGGCCCAAAGCGACTGAACAGGGATGGATAAGAACACAGGCTGCAGAGGCTATATGAGGACCCACCCTGCACACACTCACCTAAGAATGTCTGGCCTTTCCTTCCACCCACAGCTCTCATCAGGCTTTAATTTCCCTGACAAAGCATTTTCAGCCTCCCAGGTGCCTGGTGGCATGGTGACCAGGCTTGTGCCACCCCCTCCTGACTTCCCAGGGCCTGATGTTCAAATGGGGACCCCCAAGATTGCAGAGTATCCCAGGGCCCCCATCCACAGCTATCTGTAATCAAAGCAGGACTGAATATGCTAGAATGAGCAGGTCATCTTATTACCTGGAATCCTTTTCCTCCTTGTTTGCCATCCATCCATCCATTTCCCAAACTCAGTGTACTCATGTTCTTTAAAACTTGGATTGTCACTCTAGAGCAAAGACATACAACAAGCAGACAGTTAGCGTCCGTGCACAGCTGGGCTCCCCACATACCACCTTTTGCCCACCTGGTGGAACCTCGAACACAGGACCCAGGGGTCTCTGCCTCCACCTCACATACAGTTAGCCCATGCCAAGTTAGGGGACACTGCCCCATTTTTGCATCATCTTCAGAGTAAGAAATTTTACTGCCCTGTGGTAATTTTACTACCCTAATACATAAAACTGACCACTGAGAGATGGGTAAAAACCACATCCCTGGTAATTCTGTGGGCCCCACAAATATTGCCCTTCTCAACTGCTATCCACTTGGGTACTGAACAAAGAAGCAAGAAAAATAATTGTTTTTCAAAGAGCCAGGAGAGACTGACTATCAAGTAATTCAGTCAAAGTCATATAAAGAGTCAGTAGGTGGGCAGGTTCCAGCTGAATACCCCCACCCCATGCCCGGACTGCCCTGCACCCCAAGGATGTGCATGGGCTCCAGAGTCCCACAGAGCCTGCCATCCTCCTTGCCCAAGCACCTGGGTGAGGTTCTAGGTCCCACAGGAGGAGGATGGTGGACCCGCCCTGGCAGGTGTGATGGGCGGGGGGAGACCTTGGCTAGTGCAGATGCATAGAAATTATTCTGTGCTCAGTGGTGGCCAAGCACAGGGTAACTTTCCTTTTCACATCCAGTCTGTTACAAAGGGGAGCTTGTGCTATTGCTCAGGAAGAGCTCCCTCGCAGGTACTAAGGTATACACAAGGGCCTAGGGCCATCAGGGGCAGGCCTATAGGCCAAGGAACGAGCTATAGCATTGGTGTAAAGTCTCATATGGACAGGTCAGTGTCTTGAACAATCAAATTACACCTTCCACGTGACACACACACCAGCCGTTTCATTACTGGTCGGGAACTGGGAAGGTCTGCTCTGAACCCCGCAGGCGTGTACTCTACACCACCTGGCTATGCCCCAGGACTCTCCGGCCCCAAACTTTCTGGTGTTCAGTTTAGCTTCCATGGCAAAACTGTCATTCCAGGTGTTTGTTGATCTGGCTGCTGTTCTATTAAGACCAAAAGGCATGAGGTAGGGCAGAAAGTGGAGCGATATACCAAGGGGACTGGGCAGGGACTTGGGAGAGGGGCCAGACTCAGGAGGCTGCCTGGATGTTCTGTGTGAGCTTCCAGGATGGAGGCACCGAAGGCCGTTCCATGCTGAGCAATGTGTCAGTGTACAGAATTAGCCTGTGTCCCATGAGCACATGTGAACAAGAAACAAACACGTAGTGTAAAAAAAAAAAATTAATGAAAAGGCATGAAGGCACTTCCCCTGAGGGGCCTGAAGTGTTCTGTGTCATGGTCCACAGAAAACCCTCAAAGTCATGCGGTGCAAGAGGCTCAAATCTTCTTCCACTTTAAGAACACACATGGAACTGCCCAGGACATCAGGGGTGTGCGTACATGAAAAGCCACCCAGGATCTGGAAGATGTCACTCTGCAGAAACATCATGCACCATCCCAACATCTCAAGGGTAGAGCTAGCAGCAGGGCTGGACACGAGTGGTGGCCAAAAACTAGTGTTGAATTTCCACTGCACAGGCTTAACCAATGCAGGGTCACAGGGACTTATGGGCCTGGATGCAGATCTTCTGGTCACTGAGAACAGACAGAGCTCATGGTCAGCTTAGCCCATTCACAAGTCCCTTCACTACATCTAAAGGAACCTCGCTGAAAAGGAGTGAATCCCTCCAAAACCCAAAGAGGAGGTTGCACGAAAGGAAAGCACATCCCGGGAGAAAGTGAAGAAACAAAAGCTGCAGCAGGAATAGACGAAGCATGAAATAAATGCCAATAACAAAAAAAAAAAAAAATAGGCATGAGGGATGTTGGAGAAACAGGTTAGTTATTAACCTATTTCCTGTGGCAGGAAAAATAGTGTCACAAAAATGGCACACACCATATGATGACAGATGTGTTCTTCAAAAAAGAGAAAAACCAAGACCAACCCGGGGGGCAAACACACATATGTGCTCAAGGACATCTGCAACACTTGAAAAATACCATCAGCCTCTTGTGCATTAAGAGAGGACAGGCCTTCCAATGGACCATGGTGGTGTGGACAGCTCCTCAGAGTCACGGGGTGGCCGGGTCTGTGTGCACCAACATGCATATTTACAATACCTTTATGAGGTTTTCTGCAGGAGCAAAAAAGTCATCTGTTGCAAATAAAACCTAGACAAAGAAAGAAAGAATAAAGATGAAATAGAGATAAATTAAAAATCATTTTATTTCATTCCCTCATGAAATATTATAAGATGCAGTGCCAAGAAAATGGCCCAGGGGAAGCCACAATGCTTTTTAAATGTTTAGATTTCATTGCCTGCCTCTCTTTAATCTTTTCTTTCCATGCTTTTTTCTTAATCTCCTTTACCATCTGGATGTGACAGTGCTAACTGCTTACACCTGGAAAGCAAATAAACCCAACTTTCTTCTTTTCACGAAGCAAAGGCTTTCTGATACTTTTCGCAAACAGAGCACAGACCAGAAATAAAACAAAACAAAAATACCACACTGGATCACACTGGTGTCCCACACATTTGGGGTTTCTCCCCCAGAGGTCACCCTGCAGGTAGGCTGTCTGGGAGTCATTGACCAGAGAGAGGCCAGGGAGCTACTACAGAAAGCAGGTGTAAACTAGATCTTCCTGAACAAAACAAGCTGTGGTCACCCTACCTGATCCAGGGCCCTTTGACCACTGTAACTGAGCTGGGACACTGCCCTGATCTCTGACACCAGCTAGGACCCCAAAAGGCAGGAGAGGACTCCAAAAAGCTATTTGAAGGCTGCCAGCTGTCTGGGTAGTGGGCTCCCTCACCACTGGAACATGCCCCTCCCTGACCCAATCCACCAGGCTGTTCCATACCCTGGGCTAGAACCCATCTCCTTGGCAGAGGGAGCTCCCCAATGGGAGGCACAGCCTTTCCTTTGCCTGAGGAGCCTCTGTGCCCATACTGTGGGACCCCCACACATTGTAGTCAACAAGGTCTCCACAGGGCTCCCGGCAGCCAGGACTGCTGACCTGTACCATGACAAAACACAGAAGGACGGTGATCTTTTCACAAATGCCAAAAGTCTTATTTACAAACAACATAAGGCAGTGCTGCCCTTGCTTGGAACTGTCACCCATTTAAGGTAGATTCTTTGGAAGTCTTCTCACTAGTGGAAACTTCAGGCAGGCATCCTTTCCGCCAATTCCCACCACTCCGACTTTGTTCTCAGCACAGGTCAGGGAGCACAGGCACTGTCGCCAGGAGCGCCTGCAGGGGCATCTGCTCACCTTTCCTCCCACAGCCTCGGACGCCATGTCAATCAGCTGTGTGAAGTCCAGAAACCGGGTCAGCTTTCCCTCCTTCGGTGAGTCACCCATGCCTCCTAGAAACAAGAAGGTTTGGATATTCAGAGGCCAGCTGGGGACAGAGCGGTCTTACTGCTAATCCATCTGTGGCACCGTCAGCTCAGTGAGGCTGATTCTGAAGGCGACTGCACAGCTCCGACAGGGAGGGGTCAGAGAAAGGCCTCCTTCTGAAAAACCAGAGATAGAATGTTGCAAACTGGCAGATCTGACCACCACGAGATGCAAGGATGTTTTATTTATTTGTTTATTTATTTATTTATTCTTTGAGACAGAGTTTCACTATGTCACCCTCAGTAGAGTGTCACGTCATCACAGCGCACAGTAACCTCAAACTCTTGAGCTCAAGTGATTCTCTTGACACAGCCTCCCAAGTAGCTGAGACTATAGGTGTCTGCCATAACGCCTGGCTATTTTTTGTTGCAGTTGTCATTGTTGTTTAGCTGGCCTGGGCTGGGTTCAAACCTGCCAGCTTCAGTGTATGTGGTTGGTGCTGTAAACAAACCAAGGGCACGAAACCAAGGATGTTTTGTGATTTAAAAGAAGAAATTGTCTTAATTTAGAAAAGAACAACTTGCTTTTAATAGTCCTTAAGTCCATTTTTAAAAAAACACACATTTATTGAACAACTAGATGGCAGGCCTGGCTAGGACTGTGGGCAGAGAACACAGGATGCCCACTGCAATTCCTTTAGGAATCCGCCTATAGACACTCCCCCCCAACACACAGGAAATGTGCCAGGCACGTTTCATCATCTGCATCTGTCATCAGGAATGTGAACAGGAACAGCGTCTCCAAAGAGTGCCTTGGTGACCCCTACGGCATGAGGAAGTGGCTCTCTGCCACCGTGACTCTTTGACCTGGAGTATCCCTGAGGTTGCAGAGCCCCCTTTTCTCTACACATATCTCCTGGGGATCTCATCCAGTCTCATGACTCTGTAGATGACCCAAGTCCTGGGGGACCCCAAGTGTGTATGGCCTTCCTGCACCTGTCTGCTGAGCCACAGTCTCAACTGTCCAGCTGCCAACTCAGTGTTTCCCTGGGTGTCTGGTGGGATCACTAAGCCAAAGTCCCAGCCTCAGCTCCTGCCATCCCACACCTGCCCCACCAGGCCTCCAGCTCACTTCAGTTGACACTGGCTGTGACCCAGGCAATTTCCTGTGAACCAGAGGCCAGTGGAAGGTGTTAGTAGCCTTTTATCTTGACTGCCTTTTCTATCCCTTCGATGACCTCAGATTAGCCTACATGGAGCATTCCACACCATACATGGACCAGAGGCCACAAAGTCAGGAGAGAACAAGACCAGAAGAGGAAGGCATTTCGCACTGTGTGTCAAGGACCAGGTGCCATGCTTTATTCTTTATGTCTCCTTCAGAAGACTCACACTTGGTTTAGACAATCTAAACTCCTTAGTACTTCATAAAACAAAGAAAATAAAAGAGAAAAGAATGCCCCCTCCCTTTCAAAAATTAATTAAAGGCTCTTGCTCAAAGAACATGAAGTCAGTAGAGTGATGGCCTCTAAAGCTCATGCCACAAGATAGACAGACCCATTCTAGTGCCCACTGTGGTATAATGTATAACCTGTCATTCAAAATGGGTATGAAATGGGCAGGTTCTCAGCCCACCTCCCTCCTCCTCCCTCCCCCCTAGAGTTGAAACAAAGAAGCACAAAAAGTCCCCAGTTCAGATGAACAATGATGGGAATTTACTCAGATTATAATCTCCAAAGCTATAACCACCACCCCCCACCATGAGCTAACCAGCCACGGTTTGCTTCCGTAGTATGCTTGCTCAAAAATTATATAAGGCAACCTGCCCTCTACTAGGATGAACTATCTCAGAGCAGCAGTCCCCTGAGCAGCTTCAATAAACCTCCAATTGATTTTCACTTAAGTGGGGTCTGAGTCTATATTTCAGGTTGCATGGTACAACATTGCTGGAGGCCCCAGGGAGATCACATAGGACCCCCACCTGGGCCCACCACCAGCTGACATCTCCAGGGGAAGGCCTCAGAGAAACATTCTCTCTGCCCCAGGGGCCCTTGGACATGTGGATTCTGGGCACAGGTTCCCAAATTTTCCAATTCAGTAAGTTTGTTCTATTCTGTTCTGGTCTCTAGAGAATCTGGGAGAACAATAAGCTAGGCTGAACACAGCCTGAGACACCTGCCCAACGCAGGGGAGAGACATCTCCCTGTCTCACTGGTAATCTTAATAACTCTGGTAACTAAAGGTTGGAGCCTGCAAGTCTTAAAGTTCAGAGCTACTTTTAGTTTAAAGTATTTTAAATTTTCACATGTTCTGTTTCTGTATGATCTGTGTGAGTGAGTGAATGAAAGAATTTAGATGTGATTTCACAGCCCTGAGGCTACAGAATCCAAGTGGGTCTCTACCGGCGGTTCCATGACTTTATCATACAGCTTAGTGGCAGGCCCTTTGGGGCCACCTGGAGTGGGGTTTATACCCTTCACCTATGTCAAGATAGAGTTTTAATTCCCTTCCGGGATGTGGCCTTGAAGGCATCTGAGTGGGG